AATATCATATAATGATCACTTAAACCGCATGCTATAACCCCTTTACTGGAGATCCTGGACTTGTCAGAGGTCAGAATGAGATCAATGGTAGTTTGTGTTGTTTCACATACCCGGGTGGGTTGGGTGATTAGCTGGCTGAAGCCGTGCAGATCACAAATCCTACTGAAGGACTTGAGGACGGACCTGTCTTTACGTTGCATATCCGTGTTCCAGTCTCCAATAATAATTGTCTCTACACCCCCCACATCAGCCAAACACCCATCTAATGTATCATAAAAGTCACTCTGTTCCGGTGGTCTATAGATTGTCCCGACTATTACAGATTTAGCATTGTCAAAAAGAATTTCAACCCACACAGATTCAATATTTTCATGATGCAGGTCAGTACGGTTTTTGAAATTGGTGTCTTTATGTATGTACATGCAGACACCACCTCCATTCACGTTCCTGTCCCTTCTCACTACAAGATAATCTTCAATTTCAATCTCTGAATCTGTAATGGAATTGTCCAATTTGGTCTCAGAAAAGCATAATATGCTTGCCTTACCGTTCATGAATAGCTGCCTGAGTTCAGCCAGTTTGTGTCTCAGGTTGTTAGTGTTCAGAGGAAAAATATGTAGTAAATTTTTGTTGCTTAAATGCACAATGTCGTCAGCTTGCAGATATTTGTCTTTGTCCGTTACAGCAACCGGCTTGCGGCCTGCCGTGGTGTTTGGAGAGGTGGGGTGGTGGTGGGGGGAGGGAGGCTCTGTTGTAGCTTTAGCCGTTGATATGCTAGCAGGGTGGCTAACAACATGGCGGATATTTGTTCATGGGACTGTTTCTTCGGGACATGCGCTTGCTAACACGGCTAGTGTTGAGCCTCGCGCTTTAACCGAAGAAGCTGACCGGTTCTTCCTGGCCGCCCGGCGATTTACCCCTGGGGTGCTGGCCATTACACGCAGCGGCACCTTCCCTGGTAGAGGCACGCCGCCTGGCAGAGACTCCGGGGCCGACGACATCGAATAACGGCTACCGGCTTGCAGCTAACGGCCGTAGACAGCGGCTAAGAGCTAACGGCTAACAACGACGACTGACGGATAACAACGACAGCTAACGACTAACAACGGCTAGTAACGGCTGACAGCTAACGGCTAACAACGGCAGCTAACGGCTAACAATGGCTAGCAACGGCTAACAGCTAACAACGACGACTGATGGCTAGCAGCTAACAGCTGACTGCTTCCATATGTTAACATCTGACTGTTAACCCTTTTTGGTGGTGCCGGAGAGGAGGTTCGACCAAGCCTGGTTGACCTTGTGTGGATCCTCTCACAATTTCACCCACCTGTTTTTGATCGTGGACAGGACGACCCTTTTGAGCTTTTTCCGGTGCCTGAGAGGAGGTTCGATCAGACGGTCGACCTCGTGTGGACACTCTCGCTTTTTCACCACCTCGACGGCGGTTTCGGACGTCGCCCACGTTTTCATCGGCGCCTGGGTGGCGCACTTCTGGACCCCGTCTCGTCTCGAAAGTTTCGGACGTCGCCCATGCTTTCATCGGCCCATGGGTGGCGCGCTTCGGGACCTTGTCTGGCCTCTCCCCTTTCGCCTCGGCAGTTTTGGACATCGCCCATGCTTTCATCGGCCCATGGATGGCGCGCTTCGGGACCCTGTCTGGCCTCTTCCCTATCGCCTCGACAGTTTAGGACGTCGCCCATGCTTTCATCGGCCCATGGGTAGCGCGCTTCGGCACCCTGTCTGGCCTCTTCCCTCGCTTTGGCAACAGCTTCGGACGTCGCCCACGCTTTCATCGGCCCGTGGGTGGCGCACTTCTGGACCCTGCCTGGCCTCTCCTCTAACCGCGGCTCACGGTTCGGCTAACGGTTTGCCTCGACGTCGGCTTCGGACGTCGCCCACGCTGTCATCGGCGCCTGGGTGGCGCACTTCTGGACCCCATTTGGCCTCTCCCCTGTCCACAGCTCCTTCCTCCCGGGGAGACTGCTCCTGCCTCCCGGGGATACCGCTCATTCCTCCCGAGGACTTCGTGCCCGCCGCCGCTGCACGCTCGCCTGCGGGCGGGCTGCGCTCCTTCGCTCCTTCGCTTCTTCCTGCTGCCCGTCCCCACGTCGCAGCACAGCGACCCAGCTTTCTACGCCTAGAATATAATGAGATAGTAAGTCAATATAATGAGATAGTAAGTCAATATAATGAGATAACTAAGTCATCATAATGACTTACAGGATTTTTTTTTGTTTTGTTCCTGTGGCGCAAACAGGCTTCCATAGAAATGTCCACTTCAGTAGCACTTCCATACACCAAACCTTCCAGTTATATTCCTATCAATATTCTGAAGGCTTTTACAGAAGGGTTTGTTCATATATCATTGTTATATGTTATCAATGTTATACCTAAAAACATGGCAAACATTTATATTTTAGGGCTGTTGACAGTATTTTCTGATTTATGGAGTGATAGAAAGAGATATCCAAAATCCCTTCTGTAACATCCTTAGATGCTGACTACAAAATGAAACAATAATTTTGAACCTGGCTTTATCCAATGTACAGATTTGTGTTCCTGAAATGTGTTAAAATATGTGCATATTTAATGAGAGTATGGCGAATTTGCATATTTAAACATGCTATTTCAGAAAACTTGTAATACAAAAAACAATTGTCTTAATGTAAGTAATTAACTGGAGAAATTCCTAGCTGATATCTTTAAGTAAAAAAAATTACCCTATTCATCTGTAGTGTCTCACCTTAAATAACAATTATTAGGTTCAACGTAATATTATTGCTTTCAACAAACCGTATACAGTTATGTGAAATGTGTATTAAAAATGTAACAGTAATATGGTTACTTCTTTTAGTTTGTAATCGAATACATACATTTTTTATCCTGTTTAAATTATTACATTCATTTCATTTCATTTCAAACCTTTATTTATCCAGATAAATTCCATTGAGATCATTGAACTCTTTTACAAGGGAGACCTGCTCAAGTAGGTTCCACATGAAACATAAAAACATTAACAGAACAACAAAAGGACATCTTACATCATCATCACAGGGATTACAATTTACATAACTATCCACATGTACAGGTACCAACAGCTTCCGATTGAGTAGCATCCAACCGAGCTTTAAAAACATTTAGTGGCACCAGATTGCTCAGTTTCCATTTCAGTTGCAGACTATTCCAAGACAGTGGCGCTGCACATCTAAAAGCTGTCTTCCCTAAGACAGTCCTAACATTACATGTTACTTGTTAGACGCTTTTATCCAAAGCGACTTACATACTCAATACTGTGGACAATCCCCACAGGAGCAATTTGGGGTGAAGTGTCTTGCCCAGGGACACAACGACATGCTGACTGCAGTGGGGTTTGAACCTGTGCTCCCCTGATCCGAACACCAATGCACTAGTCCACTGCGCCACAGCCTCCCTAAAATAATGTGGTTACATGTAATCAGATACTCCACATGCATGTGTGTCAGATTCCTCTATTGAGGCCTTGTGTTGAATTGTTTATTAACATGCAAGTAAACTTTGTATCTTCTTTTATCTGAAGGAAAAACAGCTGAGGCCAGAGAGACCCTGCAGTCCATGCAGAAGGACAGACTCTCAGTTGGACATTGGGTTGGAAAGTACCAGCAGAACCGCGAGAAGAAGAGGGAGAAACGCCGGCTGAAAGCAGACGCTCAACGCGAAGAATACATCGCCTCCAAGAGCCATGGCCCCCAGCAATCCCTGCTGAATGAACTGTTGGACTGGTCCGTCTGCTAAAAACAGCAGCTTTAAATCCAGATCTTACAGATTTCATTGTATTGTTATTTACCTTGTTTCTTTATTGTTTTTTCTTAAGTATAAAAGTTTTCATTTGAAAAGATCAAGTTGTTTTGTCCACTCTCTTGCATAAATGTTGGTTAAGATGTATGGAAATATACTGAGGTGCAGTGGTGATAAGAAACGAAGTACAATTTTGAGGTACTTTACTTGAGCATTTCCATTTTATGCTGCTTTGTAATTCTACTCCACTATTAATTCAGAGGTAAATATGGTACTTATACTATAATACATTTATGTAGTACCTTTAAATAATTTGCATAGCTTAATGATAAACAATAAGATCAACACTTTAGATACACCGTTCTTTTTTCTCCTTGGGAAAGATGCCGAAGTTGGGCCGTCATTGTTCCATCAACTGGTCAAACATTCCACATGTACATAACAAATAAACACATATGATAATGTGACGGTTCACATTAATTAACTTTCTTATTTTTAGACACACACACTTTCTTAGATATTAGCTTACTAGCGTTACGCTTATAGACATTTCTAAGACATACAAGGTATCCATCCATCCATCTTTTAACGCGTATCTGGAGTCGGGTCACGGAGATAGCATTTCCAGCAAATGGCCTCAAATGTATATTTCCATCGCCTCATCAACCAGCTCTGACTGGGGGGTTCCAAGGCATTCCCAGGCCAGCGTGGAAATATGAGATATAATCCCTCCAACTGATCCTGGGTCTGCCCCTTGGTCTCCTACCAGCTGGACGTGCCTGGATCACGACCCTAGGCGGCCTATAAGGGGCCCAAACCACCTCAACTGGCATATAACAAATGAGCTGAAGTTATAAATTCTCATGTAACTTAAACCATTAAAAATAAGTATAGGTGAAGTCTGGCGGTATGAATTGACCTCTCACCATCAGTTGGTATGACTGGTACAAAGCAAACTGAGCTGAAGTTAGAGTACACATGTCAAACATGATGTTTCCTTAAGTTTAAGGTCAGAAACAATAAAATAAGTGCTGTTAAATATGGCTATTATCATACAGTAACCGTGGACCCCACAACAACAGGAGACCTGACAGAGATGTGTGTGAGAGTACTTAGTTTAGGTAAATGTAAAATGTAGTTGTATTATTAATCCAGTAGAGGCCGGTAATGCAACGACTGGATGCCAACCGCCTCTAAAAACCAAGAAGAAGAAGCTCCTGTAAAAAATAAAAACACCGCAGAAGAAGACAGGCTGCTGACCGTAGCTCACTGCTCAGTGTTGACAACAGTGGCGAAGGGTTGACTACGGTACGTTTAAACTGTCACAACTTGTGTACTGTGTTTGCTGGAGTATCTTTCTTACATAGCTTCGTGTATTAACGTAAGCCTGAAAATAAACGAGTATGATACTAAATCAACGAGTGTAGTGTTAGCTAACAGCCTGCAAGTAGGCCTACATAATTATTGCGCAGCTAGGTAGCGTTACGGTAGTTTCAACGTTACATAGCATAGGACCTAGGTCATGACCAGTTTTAGAATAGCTATTCATTAGTGACATCCCCTTTTAATTCATGGGAGCCTGCCTGCAGACCTCCACTCTCAGGACAGTTCCGGTGCAGACCTCCAGTCTCAGGACACCTCCACTGTCAGTACAGGAAGTGACGATTCTGACGCGTTTTTCCCCGCCCACCGAAGGACTCGTTTGATGGAAGTTTTCAAATCACAATGGAGACTCATCACGGAGGTGATGAGTCCGCCCACCGTGCACTTTGGGTCGGCCTTGGTCAAGCCCTTTTGACCCCCCCAGCCTGGTTCTCGTAAAAGTTTTTCGCTCAAATGACACCATGGAAGAATGTAACGGGAGTTGACAGGAGACTACCTAGGATGTGTAAAATACGTCTTATATGTCTTAAATGATATGATGAATTGGAAATGGGGGACCCTGATGTAAACAAGACGAAAGTCTTTCTCTGGTCTGCATCCCCTTAACAATTGTATGTTTTGAGCTGTACTGTACTGTACCCAATATACAAGCTGTTAATAAACTTTTCAATCAATCAATCAAGGATGGCTTAGAGTAGACGACAGAGTACAGCTACTTGCAATGGGCCTGGTCTACAAGATCCACTACACCTCTATGGTACCCATGTACATGTCAAAATTCTTCCCAAAGGTCAAGGAATACCATGATCATAACACCAGAGGGAGCTCCACAAACTCTTCCCACAACTGTAAAGGAAAGTAAAACTATACTTACCTTCAAAACCTCTCTTAAAGAGCACCTTCGGGGGAGAGCATTGCAAAACTGGCCCCGGTAATGGTACAAATCTCAACCTGTCGTACAATGGACAGCTTCCCCCCCCCCCCATCTATGTATATACTCGCATTTTAGACTCTGTTACTAACTGTATATCTGTAGACTTGGTATGTCTTAAATGTCCGGTTAGGATGTATTAGAACGTAATCTAAAATGAAAATTGTAAATAAGCAATCTGTATGTAAAAAACCACCTGTATGTAAATTGTAAATAAGCCATCTGTATGTCAAATATGTCTTATATGTCTTAAATGACATGATGAATTGGAAATGGGGGACCCTGATGTAAACAAGACGAAAGTCTTTCTCTGGTCTGCATCCCCTTAACAATTGTATGTTTTGAGCTGTACTGTACTGTACCCAATATATAAGCTGTTAATAAACTTTTCAATCAATCAGACTCTGCCCGCCTCACGAGTGCCTATTTTCGGACACTTTTTTTCACTTTTCCCCGGTTTTTTAATTTAAAAAAAAAAAAATGTGGCTATTTCACCCGGTTTCTACTATCATGGTCAAGATGACGGCGCTCTTGAATATCTAATTCATTTAATTGTTCTATATGCCAAAAATATTTTATTCACAAGCATACATTTTTATCACTATATTAGGTTTTTCTGAATTTTCTTCTCAATAGTTCGGAAAAACTCTTCTTCCCTCAAACCTGATACTTGTTTTTAACAAATGTACTCCTGTTTTTATATTTAAATATAATATGAAAATATAATGTATTTCAATATTCTAATCCTATAACTTTAATAAGTGTATGAGGTATAAGGCAGGTATTGATTAACAACGTTTTTTGTATATTGTATTTTGACAGTGACGAAAGCTTTAGTAGTTACTCACAAAGCTTCATTGTCAGCAGGGATTGAAAATGATCTTTCAGAGATAATCTTTAACATTGACATTAAGTACATTTCAGTCAATGAATGTACCCCCAAACTACTCTTAATGACATTAACAATACAGCAAAACATTTCCATCAGGGCTGCCAACATTTGAGTTCAGCATACTTGCCAACCTTGAGACCTCAGAAATCGGGAGCATTTCCAAAACGGGGGGGGGTGCTAGTGGATCGCCGGAGCTTAACATGCTTATTGTAGTTATAAGTGCACTGCCTTGCGGCCTGAAGCATCATCCTTGATGGAGCGTGTGGGCTGGACCTGTATTTTACAGGAAAGGAGTGAGCAGAAGGTCGAGTTGTCGATTCTTGTTCTGTTTGCTGTGACTATCTTCCTCACCCTCTCAGACTTTCAGTTGCGCGTGCTACTAAAGAGACGCGCTACCATGGAAACCAAACAATGGTGTAGCTGTATTAAAGTCCGAGTGGAAACAGTCCTGAGTAAATCTGATTTTGTCAGAAATCGGGAGAAATGCGGGAGAAATATAAACCCGGGAGGAAACCGGGAGAGGGCAGTGAAATCGGGAGTCTCCCGCGAAAATCGGGAGGGTTGGCAAGTATGGCTTGGAGTGAGATTTTATTTTTGGTGAACCGAAAAAAAAAACGTTCATGTGTGCACTGTTACAAATGTATTGAACATGTACAAACTAGGGATTCCCATTAATGTACCGGGTGCTCCAGTGGAATACGCACATACACAGTGTACCCGCGACTCTTACAATCAAGTGCTATTTTTATATTCCCCAAAATGATTCCAAAGCATATTCTTCCAAACTCCTTGCTGTAGTATGACCACCAGGAGACTATTGATGTGTGTAGTGAGTTTGGTAGAAATAAGCTGTATAATAGTGATTGAATATTATTGTATTCTCTTTTTTCGGAGTTGCACTTTGCAGACGGTCCCTGAGCACTCGTTTCTTCTCCGGCTGCAGATAGAGACCAATGCAGGGGCGGACTGGGGGGAAAAAGTGGCCCGGGGATTAATTGACAGACAGGCCCACTTAATGCGCGGCATGTATCGGCCGGCCGGCGACGAAAGTATGTTACTTAACAAAAAACCCTATGCATTTTATGTTATTTTGGACCATTATTCATATAGTAATCACATTACCTGAGCCCTTGAGTTGCCAGAGCAAAGTAGTTACGGCATATATTTAGCGATTTTAATGTTAACAGATCTTTGATGCAATAACATTTGGACCCAATTTGCCTGACTTGACACATGGAATAAAACATGGGCGTAGGAAGCATCCTCAATGTGGGTGAGACAATTTAACAGGGGGTGTGGGCAGGTGGTGGACCTCACCTCCTCTAGGGGGGTCCGGGGGCATGCTCCCCCGGGAAGATTTTTTTTTAAATGTTGAAGTTAAATGCATCAATCTGGTCCATTTTGAGAGCAAAATTAGGGACTAAATCTATGGCAGTCAGTAGGGACTTGGACTGTGAGCCGTAAGGTCGCCGGTTCAAGTCCACGACCAGACCTATTTGGAGTGTGGACTTCTACTTGGAGAGGTCCCAGTTCACCTCCTGCCGTGGTGCCCTTGAGCAAGGCACCGGACATCCCCCTTCCCCCCTCACTCCCATTGCTCCCCGGGCGCTGTACAATAGCTGCCCACTGCTCCTAGTACTAGACTCCTGGTACTAGGATGGGTTAAAAGCAGAGAACACATTTCACTGTGTGTGCTGTGTGCTCTGCATGTGTGACCATTAACGAGGGTTTCATCCCTCCCAATTCTTCTTCTTCTTCAACACCCATATAAAACAGAACTGTACACAGATTAACTTTTTCTTTCAACATTTATTTGAACAGCAAGTGGAGGCAAAAGTGACTGCACCCAAAACAATAAACCTGCTGGCTAACTAGCCTAAACTCAGTAACAGAATGTGGGCAACACGTTCTTCTCCACAGCCGCGCCACCTCTGAGTCAGACATCACTTCCCCCTTTTCTATCCTACGGGTACAGCCGTACAGCCACTCCCCCTGAACCCTGTTGTAACAACATAATACACTTTTTGGGGATGCAGCTTGGGATGTCATGACTTAGAACGGGCGTGTCGCCTTCTGTCCTGCCAGTGTTGGCAGGACATGAATTAAAATGTCGAACTCGGACTTCATTTTAAGGACATTTCGGCCAGGGGTGTAGAGCTATATTTGTTTAAGCACCGGATTGGCAAAACAGGAGAGTGTGTGCACCAGTCTGCCTTGATCTATGTATTCATGTCTGTGACACTCACAGTATCTGCAGCCCGCAGCTGTTTTATAGAAGGAAAACCTCCTTCACTTCATGAAATCTCTGCGGCACCAGGAGGCAGCGGGAGGGTTAACTCAACCTCTGAGAAGAGGAGCGCGCAGTGCCTTTCACGCACCGCCTTTCATTCACTGCCTTCGCTGTGTTTACCTTCAGAATCATTAGAAAGGCTAAAGAGTGGTGTGGCTGATGTGTTTTAACCACACACACACACACACACACACACACACACACACACACACACACACACACACACACACACACACACACACACACACACACACACACACACGATTTAAATGCAGACTTTTGTTCCTCCATGTTACGTTGTTATCGTTTCACTGAGCGGACCCGCACATTTTTTTCAAACGCTCCCCTTTTTGGTCCATCTGTGCGCTGTGATGATTCGGCTGTACCTTTAGTAATGAATATTAAATGTTGTGAGGAAATCTTTCCACCAATAATTCCAATAAAAATGTATTCACTTCAGGTTTACGAAAGTAGGCCTAACTGTAATCAGATTACTCGTTTTTCAAATGTAACGCGAGCTGAATACAGTTACTTGATTTTTGTATTCTGATTACGTAACACCGTTACATGTATTCCGTTACAACCCAACCCTGGCCACACCACACTGGGCTGGGCTGGGCCGGAACACTTACAAATGTGGGCCGGTAGGATTTAGGTAAAAAAAAAAGATTTGTTTTCTTTTTTTTATAAACTTTTTTTTTTTTTGGCCCTCCGGCCCACACACAGCACCGGCCCACCGGGGAAACTCCCGGTATTCCCAATGGCCAGTCCGCCCCTGGACCAATGTAATGTGTCCAGCTCGGAGGACGGCGCGTATTGGCTTTTTTTGATCAAAATGTGATTGTAATTCGTTGTCAACCTTACCACGGTACTTAGGAGACGTCATTTGTGTCTGAACAACGTTTTGTTCATGAGTTATTGATCCGTGAAATCAGAATCTCTCAATATCGTTCCAACTTTACTGAACTAAGCCAGAAGACCGTCTCATTTCGTAGACCGCTCGGTTTGCTGTTCCGTCACTTTATTTTTATATTTATATACATTTATTTTGGACGAAAACTTAGCGTGAGGAAAGGCAAGTGTGGCGTGAGTGCGTGAGATATGGGTTAATTGCGTGACTCTCACGCTCAATGCGTGAGTGTTGGCAGCCCTGTTTCCATGTCAACCAAAGCACATTTCTATCTGGACATTTGAACATGTGACAGTAGGCAGTTTCAGGGTGCTTGTAAATGCTGGTTTACTGTCATAATAAACACAAATGTGCTTTACTGGTTTTCGTATGTCAAAAATGTCTGCTGTGTAAAAGGTTTACCCAGACTATTTTGAGTTAGTCTACCTGAACATATATATCCTTTTAAGGCGTGGCAAATGTACATCTTTATCATTTTCATTGGCACTTTTCCAAGTCTGATGCCCTTATAATTACTAACACACCTATTAACCTAGGCAATGGTCCAATCAGAGTAATTTAAAACACCTTTGTGGGTGCTTTAATGATAGTAACACTCATGCTTATCCCACTATGACAAATCAAAATGTCAGCTATAAAAAGACCTGCTCTAGACCTCTTTTGCGTTATATTGGCATATTTGACCTAGATATAGAAGGATTTGATTATTACCACTTCAATTTAAAACATTTCAAAAAGGCAATTACAGTATTGTAATGCGGGTCATAACTACTTTTGTTGGAAATTATATTTTTCAAGAAATGATTGCAATAAATTATATTTTTATGATTTTAAGAACATTGTTCAACAAATGTTATAATATAACAGCGTAATAATGCAAGTACACCCTACACAGTCCAAAATTGCAATAAGAATGTGAAAATGATACTCAATACATTAAATAAAACAACAAAACCAAAAAAATTAAAATAAAATGAATCCTCGACTCAATTAAATGATGCATTGTCTGCACAATGCCCAAGTGTTATTATGGTACGGCAAACCTTACTGCTTATTTTGGCAACATGTTGGGTCAAATGATGTCTACATGTCTATGTAAACAAACACTTATGTAACCACAATGGTCAATATTGAGGTCAGACAGAAAGTTTGAGGTCATGTCCATATATTCTACAATAAATCAATAATGTGATTGACATGACAGGCCTTTGTCTAGTAAGTATAGAGATTACTGAATGATTTCTCGTGTTTAGCTTAGACATGAATCTGTCCTGTGTCTGTGGTGTTTCCTCTGTAGGTGTGATGCGAGCTCCCCTGCGCTGGGTGCTATGGGATGTGAAAGACACCCTGCTGAAGGTGCGTGCGTCTGTCGGAGAGCAGTACTGCAAGGAGGCTAAACGAGTGGGCCTGAACCTCAATCCTGTGGAGGTCGAAGCTGCATTCCTTAAGGCATATCAACATCATTCTAGCAGAAGCCCAAATTATGGCATCAGTCAGGGCCTGGATGGACGGTCCTGGTGGATCAGGGTGGTGCGGGACACTTTCTCCCAGTGCAGGGTGCAGGACCCGGCCCTGCTCAATGCAATGGCTCACAACCTTTATTATAGCTTCTGTGATGCAGAGAATTGGGAGGTGAAGGACTGATCACACACCTTGCATACACACAGACTTAATAATAATTGAAAATGTTAAATGTACACAAACTCCTTCTCCAATGCATCAGAAATATGGATGCAGCTAAAGAATATACAATCGTTATTTATCTTCCATTTTATTTCTCAATTGTTTCATCTGTAAAATGTGAGTAAATAGTGGAAATGCCCATCCCAGTATCGCAAGGTGCAAATTGATGTCTTTAATTTCTTGTCTTTTTCAGTCCAAACATATATTTAGTCTAATATGATATAAAACGAAGAAATACAAGGAATATCCATATTTGAGATATCTGAAAACATATTTTTCTACCATTTTAATTACAATTTAGATTGGTATGTTATTGCATCAAAATAGTTGAATGTTTTTTTAGTTGTCTGACAGATGCAGCTGTAACCGGAAATACAGCTTCTTATTTGTTTGAAAACATAGATTAGGCAAAACTAAATGTGTAAAGGTTTTTGTATGCAATCACAGTCATCATCAAAAGCCTTTTAGGATCAGTTTCTAGCTTGTTGCTTTGTAAAGCTACTACTGTTTGCTTTTTATATTAATGTTAACAGCAGTGACTTAATTACCACATAACATTTTAACTTACTGGTATTTTGTCGCTCTGCTTCAGGTATTTCCAGACTCAAAGAAGACCCTGGAGAGTTGCTCTTCTCTAGGACTGGAGCTTGGCGTGGTATCAAACTTTGACAACCGCCTAAAAGAGATTTTACGTGTTTGTGGCCTGCTGTCTCACTTCAGCTTTTTAATAACTTCAGAGAAAGCAGGAATAGCAAAGCCAAGTCCAGCCATCTTTGAACAGGCGCTGCAGAAATGTGGAGTACCAGCTGCTAACGTAGCTCATATTGGGGACCACTACCTGAACGATTATCTGGCCTCTCGCTCTGTGGGCCTCCACGGGTTCCTGTTAGACAGAGACAACAAGCATAAACACCCTGACCTTCCTGCAGAGCATCGGCTCAGCTCCCTGGAGGAGCTGCCGTCACAGCTCCAGCAACACATTAACTAATGTCAAAAGATCACAGGGTCAAGTGCAAAGCTACTGAGACTAAATGGGGTTCAGTTAGGGAACTAATTGAGATGTAGCCATGGTGACCTGAGTGGAATCAACCACTTTAGAGTTCAAATTAAATGCGCCTGAAATAAATTGAATGGGGGGCACGCGTTGTCAGTAAATAAAAACTATTTATTGTGTTTTATCATGTACTTTTTCTTTAAATAAACTGGAAGGAATTAATATATAAATATAAACAAATTGTCTATGAGTTCTACTTTTTTCATCTGACATCAATCTGACATATTGACAACAGCGCAATGCGAGGATTAGTCAACAAAAAAGTTGGGGACTTACAGATGGGGGCAACTTAAATAAAAAACAAGCATGTATTGTTATGTAAGGTGTTGGCCAACCATCCCTGGAGAACACATTTTGCTTGAAAGATATTATCTCATAATTGGAAAAAAAAACGTCAAAATCTACCCCTGGTCAACTGAACTTTGGTTATCCTGAAAAGAGACCACTCCCATCCTGACAGACAGGTTTCAACATGATATAATAGTGATTAAGATGATTACGTTAATGTTTGTTGGTAGTGACACATGCTGCTTCAGCAGTCTGAGTTAGACTAATCAAGACTTGCAGCATTTATAAGTACGAACTTCCCTCTTTGCGTTTCCCTGGAACAGTGTTGAATGCTGAGTTTCTTTGTGGAAAATAAACTCTTGGTTTCACAATGACAGTCTTATCAAGTCACATTAGGGAGAGATTAACTTGACAATATATTTTTGTTATAGAAAATACAAGAAAGGATTTAGAATTTTGCCTCTCATTGCTAACATCGGAATCACATTAGGAAGGGACCTCCTCAGGGCCAGTATGGACAGTTTAATATTAGAAAAAAACGTTTTTATCCTGTAAGGAGATTGAGGTGTCTTAGAATAAAACCAAAAGATGTACAAGTAAGAGTAAAGAACACAAGATAAATATGAATAATTAATAAAACAAATAAGGAGCAAGTGTATAGAGATAAGATAAATACTGAGCTCTTGGCCCTATATCAGCCCCAGTTTACTGAAAAGGGTGAACCGTCAGGCTTTAAATAACTAATGTACAACTAATATGACTGAAAACATCTGTCACTCAACATCTATTACCAGTGAATACACATGTTCAGTATCAACAATGAATTGATGGAACAATCTATTTTGTGGCAGACTTTATTTGATTATTATTGTGTCATGAATAATTATTTCAATAGCTTCAATGTCCTGTGACCCATTCACACCAAATTGATGCAAACACTTATTCATACCATGGACTAGTAGGATACATCTATTTGTATTTAATTTTGCAATTTTTTTAAATATTTAGAATGTTGAGATTTGTAGATAAAGAAACTACTGAATTTTCATTGAAATATTAAAATAAAAAACACTGGAATCCGACAAAAACCAATGTGTCCTCCTTTTCTAGTGCATTACAATGCTGCATTGAGTCACAGGGTCACATGACATGAGCTATTGAAAAAAAATCAAGACTTTTCAATCAAAAACAGCTGCCTTCCCTTGAATCAAATGGGACTAGATGGTGCTTCACCTTTGATGTTTAAAGTACCGAAAGAAATGCACTTTTTCAATAGTAACTTGATTACTGAAGATAATCCAAAAACCTTGGGGTAAACCCGTCCATTTAAACAAGATAATGGAGACAGAATGTATGTCAAACTCTCTACAAACATGTAAACTTCAATCATCAACTAACAAACATGAATATAAATATCAAGACATCACATTAAGCTGTCCGGTGTACAATCATTTGTTCATGTGTTTAAGTTAACTGACCCTTTAACTGAAGCTCTGAGCTTTCATCATTTCTAATGATTTGTTTTTAGTGCTTAGCAGCAAAAAAGTCTGGTTGCTTAACCCTAATGCCACTGTAAATACTCTTATTTCAAACCATCTGGTCAGAGGAAGATATGTTGGGCTGAGGGTCAAAAGAGCAGTAAGAGGGAAAAGACCCACATGGCATTGCATTCAAAGCAGAGCTTCAGCCTCTTATGGGAAATTAGGATTGACATGTTTCCAAATCAGATTTAAAGAGTTAAAGGGAATGTCCCAAGTTGACACCATTTGTATTACAACATTTAAATCTACGAAATATTATTTTACATTGTCTTTGCCCTTTTTTTCCATTACATTTAATGCGTTTCGACTTGCGCTTCTCCCTATGTTAAAGTGTATTGTTTATCTATAGGAAAGCACCCACAAGAGCTCCTTAATTCAAAGCTGGTTTAGTGGCTCAGCCAGACGGCTCTGAAGGGCTCCACTGAAATCCAATTGCAGACATAATGGGATTGTAAAACAAAACTAAGCTCTTCATACGGCGAGCGAAAGGAAAGAGCCGGTGAGATGCAGCACGTTAAGAGGAAAGATGGCAACACAATGACATACAATGGAAATAAAAAAACAGGATGTATGCGACGCATTCTTGCACATCGAATAAAGGCTTTAACATGAATGGGTGTAGATTTCTGTAAACTCAAAAAGACAAATAAATAAACTGAATGGAAATACAGAAGAGGGCTGAAACGTTTCCCTCAGCTATAAACGCACTCAAGAGTTCAGCCCTTTGTTGAATTTGGCCTGGGGTTCAGGCTATTTATATAGTTTATAGTTTATATAGTTGCCATTTCTATGTCTTGAAATATTCATTGGAAGAGAAAACTAGAGGAGCAGAGGGACAGAAAATCGGGGTATTTACAGAGAAAGAGAAAAAAAAATGAAAGAGCTTCAGAAATGAAAAGAAGGTCACGCGATGAATCAGACTAGAGAGATGGAGCAGCAGGCAATGATCACATAAATAAGAAATATGCACACATAGACATTTGCATTTTTTATTCTTAATTGGAAAACGACAGCAGATAATAAAGGCTTTCCAACTGTGAAAACATAAATCTCACTAAATTAATTGATATTGGATTAGAAGATCAACTTTTTCCATGACTTTATACCGACACCATACATTTACACATCTACTCATAATAACAAACTTTAACATATTCTGAATGGAAATGTCACCGCGTACTGTAAACAAAGTGTCCTCCCCTCGATTTGGCATATAAATACCACATCACATTCATTTTGTTGTTACTTTTATAACACAAAAAACGCATACAAACTTTACATTGGAGTCAGTTAGCAACAATATTATGTATTATTCCAGTTTTTTAAAGAAGATCTTAAATATCTTGTTTTAAATTAACCCTCAGAGGCGCTTTCTCTTTAAAAGTATTTAAATTCAAAGCAGACGCAATGCTATAAAACACCACTTTTCAAATAAAAAGTGTTTAGTGTTTTTAAAAATACAAGCAGTGATTTAAGAGCATGCATGCAGGTTTATGTGTACAAACTGAGGGCCTGTCCCTTTAGTGCTCATTCAGGCAAAGTGTATTTGGCATCTCTCTATATGTTGACACTTTTTCAAGCGACTACATTGTACAGTAAGTGCAGTTTTTTTATGAACATTAAGCAAGCATGTAGAAAAGTGCAACAATACAATAGGAATGTGGTACAGTTATAGCTTGCAAATTAAAACACCTCTGATGCATGAACACCTTCAAGTACAGCTCAGGATTAAAAAATAAAACTAATATTTCAGCTTCAGTAGACAAACCGGAGTCATCAAATCATTTTGTATGTCCTGTGTGTATTATTACTGATTGAAGTCCAGGGCTTTAAATCCATTAGCAGTCTTTCCTTATTACCATTCCGTCATGTGAAGTGAGTTCCTTCTTTAAAAATGGACACTAAAACTAAAACTTTTTCTTAAGCATCAGTTTTCCAACACCACCATTTTTTTTTAAATGTCCTATGTGCTTGTAGAGTTCTGATGAAAAGTGCTCAAAGTTATTAAAAGACAGAAATGGGAATCAGAGTTTTCTGATTGAAATGGATTATTGTTCTCCCACAGCCCAGACATATCACTTTTCCAAATGGACTTCCACACAGGATGCTTATTGGCCTCGTAGATCATTCCCGGGTCCTCTAGGCCACAAACCGACATCAGGACACATGGGACCCTCCCCATGTAGGCAGCCACTTCATCCTCAGAGCTTCAAACAGACTGTTGCAGTTCTGTGTGTACGTCTACAGGTTCGAAGAGAGAAGTAAACACGTCCTACCGTGCTGTAGGTCAAAGGGCCCAGTCAGTGGGAAAAATGGCCCTGAACATTTATCCTCCCACATCCAGCTGGCCTCGCTCAGCCACATGGACGATAACGCTGCTTTGCCTCTGGACGAGTCTTTGGATGCAATCCTGAGGATTGGTGGGCCGGACGGATGCAGAGAGCTCTCCATCCAGCAAGATGTCTTCTCAAACCACTGATAGAGAAATAGTAAACAGTTTAGATGTTTCTTTCCTTGTGAGGATCACTATCTCTTGCGATAAAACTGATGGTATTTTAACTACTTTCATCAAATCTCATTTGTGTATCCAAGTCTTTTTTAAACCTTTCTTAGCCACACAATTAAACAAAATTAATCACAGAAGGAAATTTAAATTCATAACGGTTGCTTTTAGAATAAATTTAAAAAAAATGATAAAACACAAAAGTAAAAATTCTTTGAAATTTGTATTAAGAAAAATACATTGTTCATTTTGCTTTTCTCATGGAATTTGCAGACAACCATATAACATGTGACTGAAAGCCAGTCACTTGTACCTTATTGTTTATAAGATAGTATAAGATAAACATGACATAAGTAATGTACCGCTCTCAGAAGGATGGCAAGATGCTCCTTGCTTCTCTGTCATGTGGTGATGTGCACGGCTCTGCCTGCGATAGTCCTGCCTCCACCAGCAGCTGCACAGGAGAAAACTCAAGTTACCAAAATCCTGAAACTCCTCAAAGTTCATAATTTCTTCCCTGATAAGAAACATCTTTTAGCTTACATGATAGTTATCCAATACACTGTACATATTATTCTTTATAATGCAGTGAACAGATACTGTAATATGTAAGATTTGCCAAATTGTACTTACTGTAAAAGTGTACACATCACCATGATCAGCACACACCCAATCACACACAACACCAGCACTGTGGCAACGGTCTGCTGTCTGTGATTGGTTGCTACGACAGCCAGCAGGTCTGCATGCTCACACCTCATCCCAACAAAGCCTTCGTGACACCTGCAACAAGGACGGAAAACCAAATTGGATATGCAAAGAGTTAGATTTAAAAACAGCAGTTTAGGGGTTTCATTGACATTTGAGTACTATTGTCTGATTGGGGGAGTCCCAACTCTTGTAAAAATCCCATGTTGTTCTATTCTTTTGCAATTATCATATACACCCATGTTGATTTCATGTACCTGTGAATTAAAATAACTGTCATTACTGTAACTTTACAATACAGTTTAGTAGATTTTTTTAATTTCCATAGACACCCATTTTGTAATACTGCAAGGTTATTCTGGAATAGTTAGTGACATAACAGACGGTTACTTGAAAGTAAAAACAGTAACAACTTACACACATGCAGGTGTTTCCTCTAATATCAGGAAGCGACATGTGCCGTGGAAGCAGAAATGGCGATGTGAGTCTGGACAGTCATCGAAATGATACCGGACAGCGGCTGCCACAAACTCTGTGGGACAAGAGTTGACATTTTCAGAGAGACGTACAAAGGTTTGTTAAAGGTCACCTATTATGCAAAATCCACTTTTTCATGTCTTTCATACATAAACATGTGTCCCCTCTGCGTTAAGAGATTCTGAAAGTTTCAGGAAAAATTATTCACTCTCTTTTTGTCCTGATCTATGTCTGAATATCAGCTGATCTAGGGCTGCTCAATTAATCGTATTTAAATCGCAATTACGATTATGGCTTGCAACGATTACAAAAACAACGTAATCGAAATAATACGATTATTTTTTTATTATTATATATTTATTTTTTTCATTTTCTACATGTTCAGGGTAATCAACTGTTAAAAACATACTGTTCACATTTTGTTTCTCCAATAAATTGATGTTTTCAAAGTAAATGGATAATCGTTTTTTAATAATCGTGATATAAATTATTGACCCAAATAATCGAGATTATGATTTTTGCCATAATCGAGCAGCCCTAAACTGATCAGATTTTGGCCACTTTATGATGTCATAACGATTTTTTGGCTTGTGTAACCATTAGCCGATAACCAACCAAGGTAACCCCCCCCCCCCCCCCCCCCCCCCCACCTTATCACCTGAATCTCCTCCTAGAGCACCTTTGTGTTCTTTTTAACCAAATCTCTCTCAGAGGGGCGTGGGGAGTGGCTCCTTATTTTCATCTAAAGTAAAAGACACAGAATCAGCACTTTTGAAACAGGGCTGAAACAGAGGTGTTTATGGGATGCTACACTGCATGATCTGTTTGGTATTTTGAGCCAAACACTTCAGAGACATGTTTTGTATATATCCGAGACCTGTAATATATTGATGAAAAAGCGTATGATAGGAAACCTTTAAAAGAACAAGAATCACTGCCTTTCCTCCATGAAACCACTTACTCACATTCAGCTAGGTTACAGTAAAGTCGTTAGCTACAAGAAACACTTTGAGAACCATGAATCAAGTCATTTATCGCATGAACTCTTTCCTTAATTACAATATCAAATATACGCCAAGTACATAACATGATACAGGTGAATATCATACGTCTCAAAATAACCTAAGCCTGCAGCATGTACAGCATGTACTAAATCCTAAAGCTGACACCCACGCCACCAGCGGCAGACTGAAGCCTTTTGTTACGAGTTGCGTGTGGATTCGCTGTGGCTTACATCTCACACTGTACCTGGGAGGGACAATTAGAGTCAAGAAAAGTCCTGGTGAGTGAGACGCTGCAAACAAAAAGCTCCATCCATCAACCAACATTGAGACTCCACAGAGAGCACATTGCTGCAAGCACTTTCCTCTATGCAGAAATTAAAGCGTTTAAAATTGATTTATTTTCTCTAGGTTTTGCAACTATCTCAGCTTTCACTTTGACAAAACAACAGTGCAAAATATCACATTAAATGCACACCCAATCAAAATCAGGACATTACTTCCATGTTAACTGTACAGTCAGACAAATTCCTACGTAACCGAGTCCAACACAAGTCAGTGTTTCCCCCACAGAAACAGATGCACAGTGTTGCATTCAGGGATGGGAAGGAGGATGAGCATGCAGACAGATAGCTGCATTACAGCCTTCGTCACACACTCCATTCCAACGGTAAATGGGCTTTTGGACTGCAGCCTACATGTATTGTCTCCTTCATTCAGACTCTGTGAAAGCCCTCTGTTGTCCCTGAGGCATCTGCCTAACAAACCCTCTCCCTTTACATGTGATTTTGGCCAGTGAGTGCAGGCAGCTTTTGTGAAAATGCTAAATGTAAAGCTCATACTGTATATTCTGCCCATTATCTTTAATTTACCACAATTGCTGCCCTAACTCACGCTAAGAGGATCAATTATCAGCAAGCACCACTCAGTCTGCATGTGTTGATACACTGCAGCTCAATGGGAAGCTTTACAGTGTTGACAACCCCTGCTGTGATGCAAAGCTGATGTGAGAGTGGCTGCAATGAGGATGTGATGTATCTGAAGTACAGTGATTTATTTTACTGGAGACAGCTTGACGATAAGCCAAACCTTCCCCTGCATCTTGACTTACTTTTAACTGGATGGACGGTAGTTGTTGTAGCATGTGTGATAGTGGTAGTTGTGTTTCTGCTGTTGGTTGTTGCAGAGCTGCTTGTTGTGTCGTTTGGAGCAGCAGTGGAATTTGTATGGATGGTAATGCTGGCTTCTATGTTTATCGAATCAATCAGTCCTGCTTCGAATGTAAAGAGGGAATCTGCAGAGAGGAAAATAGGCTGTTAACATGTCATTTGGTCACAATGTGAGAAAATATACTAATGAAAACAAATAACTGCAGGAATATGACACCCGCTTAAGAATATTGCAGTGATAGCTGAACAAGGTCTTGAGAGCATTTAGAAATATGAAATACATGAGCTTGAACCTTCACCTATTACATTTTGAATTATTTCATTTGTAAGACACAAGTACAGAGAAACATTGACAGTTGTACCTGCTAAAGGTACGACACCTGTCCCTTAATGGGCATTGAAAGTTCAAGATATTAAAATTACATGTTATAGTTTAAAAACATACAAGAGCAAACAGAATGCAAAACATTTTTCAAATGATTTACTACCATAATGGATTGCTTTCTGGCAAGACGTGACTGTGCTGGGACTTACTTTCAACTTGAGGCGTGTTAGTTGTTGTAGCAGGGGCGATAGAAGTGAGAGTTGTTGTTGCAGAGCTGCTTGTTGAGGTGTTAGGAGCAGCAGTGGAGTTTGTATCGATAGAAATGCTGGCTTCAATTATTGTGGAATTGCTCGGTCCTGCTCCAAATGTAAAGAAGGAACCTGCAGAGAGGAAAATAACAATCTGTTATGTATAGAACTAACCACAAAAAAGCAAAATAAATGCCAAAAAGAAGCTCACTGTAAACTCACCATTGAGTATCACAGAAGTAAAAGTAAAAGTACCTATAGGAATATAAAACATATATATTACTTTCTTTACTTCTAACATAAGGAAAACCAGGTGTCACATATCCTGATATATGGGTTAGTCCCAGTGGTCCGCCCTGTTTGTGTCTTCATTGTAATATTGATGCTTCATTGAGTAACTTGTACCCAATAATAGTAACAGGGTCAAGCATCCACTAAAAGGATGAGACAAAAGCTCTATAAATATATACGGGAGTCCTCTGAAGACACGCAAACAGTACAGGCTGAAACCAGCTGATGATCACAGAAATTGTGTTTTTTGTTGTAACAAGAAGATATTATAAGAAATGTAATAATGTTAAAAAAAATTCAAGCCATACAAATATATAAAAAAGAAATCCATCAAAATGTCAGGTTGGTTTAAATATATATTTGGTATTATACTCATAGGCATACTATGAAGAATTCAGCTTTTCTGGCTTTATTTTAACCAACAAACAAAAAAAGAATCAGGGACACCATAAAGGATAAACAAAACACCATCAAGCACATCAAAACAAATAACAAAATGCATATGGAGTATATAAAAAACGTTTGATAGTAATATTGTATTGGTTGTTATTGCAAGTGAATTCATATCAAATAATACAATTCAACAGGGGGCAATAATGGCGAACTGTTATCATTAACTAAAGCATTTATACAGATGTTTCAGAATGAGACCCACAAAAATTATATATTTTTTGCAAAAATCAAGAAACTCACCGCTTATGAGAAAAATTGTATCCCAGAAAATCCGAGTCATCGTGACGGTTTGTGGTCTAAACTAAAGTAAAGTGACGTGCGGGATGGTTTAAATGCGAGCGTGTGCTAAGAAACCACATTACTCATGAGTGTTGCAGCAGCGCGGAACATAATGTAATCTCGTTATCACTGCGCGGATGTGTCGACAAATGTCAATTACACACATCTGAACCACGGTCGTAGAAAAGTAACTGAGTTTTTTCAGCCAAAAGCAAGAGAGTCTCCAGGAGGATGTCCGAGCGTTTAACTTCTCTGTGTTCAATTGAGGAAACTAGTGTAATCCTGTCAGAGGCTGACCAATTAGAGGCAGCGAGGGAGGGGTGTCCTCTCAATTTGACCTCAATATTACACTTGTATTTATTAAGTGCATTTAAGCCTATATCTGATGATTTAAATCATTACATTTAAGGGATATTTTTATATAATCAAAGTATTTATCTTAGAGTTATTCTTGGTATTTTTAAATCCATTTGCAGCATTTGACATAGTGCAATAATGTGCAACACACCGTTGTTTTGGTATAAATATATCAATTGTATTTCAAATACAAAAAGCTTGCAGATATAGAAGTCTCATTAATCAACTGGCTATATATATTACAATTGTAACTAATTATTTTATTTTATTTATTTAAAGCTGTGAAGCATAAGAAAAGCATAGCTGGTCTGTCTGTTCATTCACCAAATGTCCATGAAACTTGGTCTGATATTCATAATTTGTATAGTATGCGTTGGTGATTCTCTTACCTTTTGTAAACTTAATAGTGCCACTAAGTCTCATGGTTCATGAAAGCCGATAGACTTTCCAGGAAAGTGCAGCAGGGAATTATTTACATTTCCAAACTGTGCACAGCATGTCTTCTAACACTGGCTTTCAATAATAGAGGTAGATCACTCTACTCACAATTGTTCTCAAAATCCAACAGAGTGTATAGTCTTCTTTACCTTTTTTATCTGTGGCCTTGAAGCTAAAACATCCTCTTTACTCTCTACTCCTCCTAGTTTGTATCACTTAGCTGGCAGTTATGTGATGCAGCAACATCTCCCTTGGTGAATCGAGATGGTTTTAAAGTTTAAAATTCAAATTACATTTATGAGGACACTTACTTTAATTGTAATCAAGCAATTGCCAATGCAGTTTGGTGTGTTGTTTTATAGATTACATTTATGTTGTTGAGATGCACAACCTGAAAAAAAATCAAACAAGAGTGAACATTTTAAACTAGCTCCATCTGCTGGACATTACCAAGCACAGGTTTCCTTAAATCTTTTTTAAAGATCTATCTTACACAATATTTTGTCCAGAAGAATAGTTAGGACATTATTACACCAATCCAGTTAATGTATAAACCCTCACAGAGGTGCACGTGAGAATATCCAGGATCACTGCATGTCATTGAATAAGTTAAAATATGTTTGCCTTAAGTACATATTAATAAAGGAAAGTCCTGCATCACTATCTAATGTTGTGGTCCTGTGTCCAAATCTCGATTTAAGATGTTTACTTTTTAACTGTGCCTATTCCTTAAAGAAATATAAAACACTTGGGGCATCTAGTGGTTGCTGAGGGGTCAATAGGGCATGTAATATCTATTGTGACTCTTAATTATATAGTGCAATAAGTGTATTCTTTATTGATATTTCTTATTATAAAAAAGTAAAACTTGTGCTAAATTGTAAAACATAGTATTTTAAATTGAATAGTTGTGAAATCAATTGTTTTTGTATTAAAGTCTGAAATTGCATAACAGTTTTTTTCATGAAATATACATTAATTGAGGGGTGAAATAGTGCATTAAAACCTGCCTGTAACGCGTAATGTGTGCTAGCGATTTATGTATTTACATACTTTATGCATCGATATATTTATGAAATGAAACCCCACGTGTCAGCATGCACCTCCCTGCTCCTGGATAGTAGAACTGACTAACTGAGTAACATCACCTGAAGACGTCAGTGAGATTCATTATTGTCACACTGTTCCCACCGAAGTCAATCAATGTGGGATCCTGAGTGTATAAGAAGATGCAGTATGCTAACCACCTGGTCACCTACATAGGCGGCGCGTGAGGCTCAGGTTTGGGAAGGCTAAATAACTTTTTTTTTCATCTTACGCTGCCCGCCTCCGGCGTCTATATAAAAGAGATCAACTTAGTGAAAGCACCGCCTGCTGACCGATCAGAGCTCAGTGTGCGGAGTTTAAATCTATCAAGTCATATTACAGGAAAAAGGAAATGCAGTTTAAACTGCCGTATGCAGAGAAGACGCCGACATGTCACACTTATCATTCATATCACACTGACATCACATCATCAATCAGATCATCGATCTCACATCGATATCACAATATTTCCTTATCTGAGTCAGCTTCTCGAGCCGTATCTGGCCGTGCAACACTTAGTTACATTGTCACATATAGGCTACTGTATGCAGACGTATTATTTTAAGCAACACATTAAGTTGACGAAACACTCAACTCAAATGTAATAAAGTCAGATCCCCTCGTGTTTTAGATGGGGCAGTATCATAAAACTGTTGTACGCTTTCAAACACTCGGTAGTTTATTTTTTAACGAGTTGTTCTGTATTCTCCTTGCAGGAGAATGTGGCTCCTATGTGGCTTGTATCCTGGATTATATGTTTAAGTCATCATGGATGTTTAAAGTTCATATTTGTCTAATATTAGTTTACTTTTCATTAATGAAGTATGACGCTGCGCCGTCAGTACACTTGTCCCTGTTTGTGATTGGTCAAATGTAGCTAACCCCGCCCCTTTCATGTGAACGCGTTCTCAGCTGGAGAGAGAAACCCTGGCTTGATTTACCGAGTTGATAACCAGCGCCGTAGGACAGTTTAGCGAGATCTCGTTTGTTAGGGTTAGTTAAGATAACTCAAGCATATCCAGGGTCTGTTGAACTGGCTTCGTGGTACAGGGCACAGGTGGCTGCATAGCAGCGCTAATGTCAAACACATTATTTTTTTATTTTACCAGGATTCAGTTACACAACTATTTGGGAAGGCTTAGCCTTCCCTAGCCTACAGCACCCGCCGCCCCTGGTCACCTAATATGTGTCAACTGGTTGATTTCTGCAGCCAATCATCAGAGTTCGCCATACGCACGCTCTACGCGAGTGCACGAGATTGTGTTGAACTGTATCGGAGGTGGGCTGAGCTGTGTGGTTTTGTATTTGACTTTGACTCTGACATCAAATTACTTTTTTAAAAAACGTTTTCACTTCGTCAAACATGTCGCCAGCTGGTGCACAGAAGGTAAATAAGCACATTATATATTTCCGATGCGGATTTTAAATTAGAGTTCATTCCCCTTCTTCTAGGATTTGTTGACTGAGAGGTCTTTATGCTGGACTTTCCTGCAGAAAAAACGGAATAACTTGGCGGTTGAGTAAATCTTACCAGTTGCTGTGCTATTTGAAACAACTATCACTCTCAGTGGTGGAAATTAACTATATTTTCTCAAGTCCTGTAATTTTGATTACATACTTAATATTTTCATTTTATGCTACTTCATACTGCTACTCCACTACATCTCAATGGCAAATGTTGTACTTTGTACTCCACTACATCCATCTGACAGCTTCAGTTACTTTGGTGGTTTAGGGTTAGTAAGAGTACCAGCTAATAACGTAGGCTACTATTATAGGCTAAACTACCCCGCAGTATACAGTACAGTAGTTGAAATGCTTAACTAAATTGATGGACACATTTATCACTATAATCCAATAATATTATGTTACTGACTACTTTTACACATCAGTAGGCTACTGCTACTTTTACTTAAGTAAAATATTAGGGTAGCTTAATTCTTGCACCTCTGGTGATCCTGCAAAATAACAACAAAATGTGACTACATTTATAAAATAAAAAACATTCTGTCTTTTTGTATTATCGTTTACATAATTTGTATCTTTGTATATGTCCCTTTGTGAGCTACGTTATAAGTATTAGCTAAGTATTAATACATGTGTGTAATCTAATATATTTATCTGTTTGTATGAACAGAGCAGTTCTCTGACATTGGTGCTAATGGTTGCTTCTGCAGCCAGTGGAGGAACTCTTCAATATGGCTACAACCTCGCTATAATGAATACTCCAGCAGTTGTAAGTTATTTAGTCTAACTGCAAAATTGCTCTGTGTGTGTGTGTGTGTGTGTGTGTGTGTGTGTGTGTGTGTGTGTGTGTGTGTGTGTGTGTGTGTGTGTGTGTGTGTGTGTGTGTGTGTGTGTGTGTGTGTGTGTGTGTGTGTGTGTGTGTGTGTGTGTGTGTGTGTGTGTGTGTGTGTGTGTGTGTGTGTGTGTGTGTGTGTGTGTGTGTGTGTGATTTAGCCATGTAGGTATATTAATATTGACTTCAATGCAAAGCTAATGAGGTGCTGGAGGGTTTAGAAAGTGTTAATAAGTCTCCCAGTGTTTACATTAACACTGTGGTAAATGTATACTTACTTATGTCTGTGTTGTGAGCTCTCCCTGTAGATCTATGCAGATAAGTAACAAACATTGGGCTCATTGTGTCTTTGATAAGTCATTCTCACATCAACATTTATTGTTGGGTAGAAACTTATTCTGGAAGTAGGATCTTGTTTAAGATACATTTGAGCGATAAACTTTGGATAAACAGATAAACTGAGGTAATAAGTGTCAGCAATAACCACTGCTTTGCTAACTTGCCTTGGTTTTGCGAACTGAAAAATACTTGTATGGCTGATTGTGATGTTATTTCTCCCAGTTTATTCAAGCCTTTGTCAATGAGACATTCCTGGAGCGCTGGGACATGCAGCTGGAGGACTACCAGGTGACTCTGGTCTGGACAATCATTGTCTCCATCTTCTCGTTGGGGGGCTTTGCAGGGGCCCTCATCGCAGGACCTTTGACCATACGCTTCGGGAGGTAAAATAAGATGACGCATTAAGCTGCTGTATTTTATTGTCTGGCTGTATCAATGAATAAAGAGATCATTGACTTACTTTAATCTATCACCTGTACATATATGTACATACATATGAACTTTAATTTTTAAAAAGGCTAAATCATTTCCTACATTAGATGCACTCTGTAGTTTTTAGCAAATGCTTTTCAAACAGGAGTAGGGCACTATTTTGGAATGTGGATGAAGACACATTTGATGCTCTCATGAGATCTTATAGCAGAAGGATTGACCCTCTACATAAACTACATGGCCCATGGTCAT